TCAATTGTGGGGATTTTACAAAGGGACATCAGATCAGCCAACAGCAGTAATAATCCCTATCTTGTCAGAATCGTTTTTACATGATTGCTGGCAGTGATCCAAGACTGCTACCGGATGTATAAACTGAAGAGAAACAAACCAACCAAGATACAAGAAAGGCCATATTTTTGTGCTTAAATATGGGCTGATGGGTTTTCACTGAATTGGCTGTTATAGAACAGCAAAGGTATTTAAAACTTACTTACTTCCCAATTCTTCCTGGTCTTCATGTGACTGATTAACTGATAAAATACCTACCTATTTATAGGCCACACATACAAGTAGAAGGTCCAGAGTAAATGAGTAAAGACTTGTAGGATACGTCAACTTCAGAAATGCAAATTAAGTTCAGCTCACTTACAAGGCAGCTATTCATTAGACCAAGTCTAGGCTAAAAGACACATCAAGGCTTGATGAATGGAAATGGAATCTCATTAGCCTGTAATTTATCATGTAATGAATAAATGAAATCTCACTGCATTAATTCTTCAATGTTGTGAGAATAATGAGATGTAGGTTTTTTTTGTTTTTTTTTCTGAGGAAGCAAGGCAATGTTTTTTTTTTATTTAAGCTACTTATAAACTATACATCTAGTTTATTAATAGCTTTTAAAGACTGCTAATGCAATAACTGCCTGGCACTGTTGATTTTATTGGCAGTGAAATGAAGATCTATTGTGGAAATGATCATTTGCTCAAGAAAGAGAAAAGGGGTCTGACTGGAAGAGTGAGATTCGGAACTGAGAAGAAAAAACTGTACTTCTCATTTACATGACCTGAGCACTTGACATTTATGCTCTTGTGACCTGATATTCAAAGATGTCCCTCTGCATGGGTATCATTGCTTAGTTTCACAGGCAGGCCCAACAATGAGTGGCCAGCCGAGTGTGACTTACTCGTGTTTCGGGGGACAGGTGGCAGCGCTGGTTGTCAATTTATGCTTACTGTAATGTCAGCCCCAATTCAGTCCAGCCTCATTTGCTCTGTGCCTGGCTGCTGTCTGTCATACTGAGCTCCGATTCTCATTAGCTTCATGTGTTAAAACCATGCCTGCTTAATTATTGAGAATAAGCAGCCAGGTCCACAATCATAATTCAGCTTTATCTTAGCACAGTTTTGGATTTCATTTTATAGTTGTGTACTATATATTATTATAACCATATTTTAAACCTCATGAAGCTCAGAGTAAACTACATCAGAGATTCTGATCACGGTGCTTCATTGTGAAAGAGAGTGTTGATTTTTTGTTTGGCTATGTATTCTCTGTTTGTCTATGTTCCTTGTCCTTTGTCCTTAACTACCATCATAATCATCATCACCTTTCATCATTCTTACAATTGTCATCATCAGTACAATAATCAGCATGTTCATCAATCACCTGCCAATAATAGTCTTTGTCTTAAGTAGCTGGATGTTTTGTCATCCATTCATGCATGTTTAATTGTCCTAAATGTGACTATAAATGAATTAGTCTGTCAGTGTATGGATGCACTGAGATGAGGTGACATTTTGGGGTCATGTACCACAGAATGACCTCAAACTTCAGCACATTCTTCTGACAGACATGGTCTCCTGTAGAGCTTGTCTGTATAGTCTTTGTCCGTTCTTTTCCTTTATTCTTCTTTTTTCTGTAGCATTTAAAATGTATGTTTGTTTTTTTTTTACAGCCAAATGCAAAATAAAATGCTGAGTTGATCACTGAAAACATATATAATATATTACAGTGAACAGGGAGTCCATACTTTGCTTGGACTGACAGAGCTCTGAGATTATGATTCCAGTATCTTTCTCACATTTAGCTGTAGAAGACTCAACTGCGGTGGCTTTTCCTTTCAATGTTCTGTTTTTGTGATTATTTTTAACTTTCCCACAAAACTGAGAAATCAGGCCACCAATAAAGAGTCTGAATGGAACAGGCAGCTAAATCCTCCTTTTAATGTTTAAGAACATTATTTGGTCTGCCCAGAGCGTGTGCATCTGTCCAGCTTTGTGATACATCTGTCCCTGGGGGTTCAAACACTTGGCACAGCAGACGAGTAGTTGTGTGGCAGTTTGGAGAAGAAAGTCTTGGCTTTTCCTTTCCAAGTCCTTTCCAATGGGCTCTGTTATAATAACATGTTGACTCAATTAAGGTACCAGGGTAGGTTATAATTAAGTTGGGAGTTTTCCCCTGGGCCAAGCCAGAGGCCGTCTTCTTGTAAGAAGCGATGCAGTAAATTAAAGATGACGCTCCAGAAGTATATTCTTTTTTGTTGATGTTTTTTACAAGTTATCAGTTTTGTGCTACCAGTGTTAAAAATAGTCTCTTCCCTCAGCTGATTCTGCTGCTATTCTCAAGTGTGTATGAGCTGCTGAGTCACTATGTAGATGGTGTTGGTGGCTTGCTTCTGGCAATGGCCGTAATGGCGCCTTTTAAAGTCTTGCTCTCTTCAAGGCCTACAGTCAGGGACAAATTCAAGACATGCGGTTTGGGTTGAGCTTATTTAACAGAATTATTGTGTCTTTTCTCTTTGATGTGGTTTGTTTATGCTTGTGAACTCTCTATGCCCACATTGTGGTTCATTTTGATCTGTAACCCAAAGAACCTTTAATGTAAGCAGGCACCTTAACTCATCTCTCTTTATCTGTCCTGTTTGTCTGCCATCAGCTTGTGTGTCACAATACTGTGGAGCAACCGTGTGTAAAGGTTTCTTTAAGCAAAATCATGAAACTTCTGTTTGGGATTTGAACACTAAAGTGTATGAAACACATTTAAGCATATGAAAGAGACAAACTTATCTAGGCACATGAAACTATTAAAAGGTCTATAACCATGAATTATTTAAGAATGATTCTGTACCTTTTCCTTCAGCTCATGTAGACTCTGTCCATGTAGTTTGATCAAAATTGAAAATTGCACCACACATCTGTCCAAGGTCAGGTATCATACAAAAGGATAGGAGATGTTCTCCCTAGAGTGATCGATTAAAAACCAAGCAATGATTTCATTGATCTCAAATTCCTCTTTGTATCAATACTCGCAGTTTAGAAAACCACCTGTCAAGATAGTATTGATTGTAGCTAATATTGGCCAAGGTTTCAGATAACACTCTAAACCCACAAAAGCTTTTTCCTGCAGATTAAATTAAGTGTCTTACTGTACTGTGTAGTCTGTTTATCACTCTGTGACTTCTGCTCCAGAGAAGAGCAGTCTTAGAGTGACAAATTTCATGATGAATGATAATCCTATAAAATGTCCTTGGGAGCGGGTCCAATATTTTTTGTTATTTCTAGGGCTGTCGCAGTGAAGTAATTTCCCCCTCGGCAATATGTTGGGGCTCAACATGTGTGTGGTATTATCGTGTTTCTCATTAATGAAGTAATTTGGTGCCATCTAGCATAGTAAGAGTGTCTGGATCTCACCAATCTCACCTCACTGCACAGAGAACCGCTAACAGCAGCTTTATGGTCGGAGCAAGGTAGCTGCTGAGTGCTAGTCAACAACATTGCCAAGAAAACTAATTTTTGTAGTTTGACAGTGTCTTTTTCACACGTAACGTTAGCTTTATCGTTACCTTCAGGGCATGTCTATCAAGTCAATGTACATCCCGCAGCAAGGCACGCACGCACGCACGCACGCACACACACACACACACACACACACACACACACACACACACACTCTTTGGGTATACTCTTTCACTTTCTGCAGTCCTGATTTTCTTTAAAAGACAGGAAGGCAAAGACAACACAGCGGTGCGGAGTAGTTATATGCGATACCCCTTAATTTGTATACGATCCAATACCAAATAATACCCAGGCTGGTATTGCCGATACCAATATCTCAGATGTTTACCGAAGTTTTCAGTGTTGCCAGAGTATTTCACTGTCTTTGCACAGACATCACAGCATCATTATTACCTTCACAGCTAAGATACAGCCAGACGTGTCAGCCATAATCGGTATTAAATCACAGGAAATGTTAAGGGCTGCAGTGGCTCGCTTCAAAGAAACTCCGTCACAGAGCCGTAGTGCAAGCATGACTTTGACAGGCGGAAGGAGAAGTAGTTCAACCGAGTATAATTATACCTTCCTGGTGACAGTAAGATATTTATGATAAAACACACACTCGCTCCAAATGTTATCCTTTTAACTCCAGATATCGATCCTTTTAAATGAGTATCTATCCTAGAGCAGGAAACGTTGGTATCAGAAATATCAATACTTTAGTATCGATCTGCCCATCACTAGTGCGGAGCAGAATTGGCTGTCCACAACTAACAACTGCGCTGTAGCAACGTTATAACTAAATTTCCACAGAAAGCAACATGAAAAACAGCTGCAGGCATCCAACACACTACTCTTGTCAGTTAGTGAGCTTCAAATGAGGCTTACCGTTCAGTTTCTCTCGACTGGCCCCCAGTATTACAACGTTAGTCCAACATTGTAGAGCCTGCTAGCCACATTAGCCGCACAATATGCTAACGCCAAGTTAGCTAACCTTTAAAATAAACAGTAAAACAACACAAACCACGGCAACACTTACAGCTTCCAAGTTTGAAGTTGGGTCACGTACAGGCCATGGCGGTCCGCCCTTGAACCGTAACAGAGCTTGTGACAGTTGTGGAATTTTTGAAGCACTAATTTATTAATTTAACATTAATTTTGGTCTCATCCTGCCTCTCTGTTGAACCTTTTGGCCATCCTATTTTTGCTAAAAGTGATGAAATTACAGTTGATTAAATCTTAGACAGGTTATCGTGTACAACCTTTTCTAAATAATTTTCCAGAAATTAGAAGTAGAGATATCTAATGTCACTTCAGTTATACTAAGTTATGGTCCCTATATTGGTGAGTAAAAGATGGGTGAATGATAACCGTTAATAAAAGCAACCCAACTTTATGCCTGTAATTCACTTTGTTTGAAGTCAGCCATGCATCTTTCTTTCATTCAATACTGAAGCATTCTTTGTTCCACTGCAGATAATTCACACCACGACATAGGATTTCTTGGAGATGTTCCAAGTTCAACAAGGTCATCACCATCAGCCTTACCAGCCTCACATCATACTGCCTTTGAGAGCACAGACTCACCTGGTGGCCTGCCATCCATTTTGGAACCAAACTATGAAGTTAGGACGGCTGACATCACACATTCTGAAAACTCAAAATCCTTCACAGCAAGTGACCTCCTTGCAGAAGAACCACTTCCTCTTTCCTCTCCATCATCAAACCCCTTCGAACCTGTATTGGGGTCTAGTCCACAATTTGAGGCACCTGCTAAACTTACCACGGACTGGAAGCTGACCAGAACAAATTTGGCCCAGCAATCTTCCTTTCTTTCTCCAACTTCTCCCCAATTCCAGCCTCAGTCAAATATATCCGAAACATCAATAAGCACCTCTGCTTTTACAAGGTCAGCAACACCTCAGCTAGGTCTTAATTCTGAGCAGAAAGAAACTTTCACCAAGCAGCTGGGTGGTGCATCAGAGCAAACACTGGCAATCATGACCTCACTTCCTAGTCAGCCTCTTGAGCCCCCTAAACTAGATTTCACTGAATCTCTGGCAGATGAATCTTACAGTAAAATACTGGATTTGAACCAGCTGAGCCCCAGCAGTGCCCCCATGGAGGCAAAGGAAGCACCCCGTGACATAAACATGCTACCCAACCCAGATCAGATTCTGGCCCCTGGCTACTATGTGCCTTTCATTGCACCCCACCCTTCATCGCCTTCATCTAAACCCACAGAGATCTCTCCAGAGGACTTCTACCCCACCAACACCATGGACTTTGACTGGGGGTCTGGGGACTACTTGGAAACAATGTCATTCTTAAATTCAGATGGAGAGGATTACTCTCTGGTCACCAAGGTGCCCTCTGACTCGTATGATCTGGAGGACTATACAGAAAGCTATGACACATCTTTCCCTTCCAGAGTGGGCATATCCCCTTCATCCTTGAATCCTCTTCATGTCTCACCTTCTCCCAGCCTCATGACAACATACAGCACTGTTGTTCCTCTAAAATCCATTTCTCTTTCCTCTACAACTCACTATACACTGGAACCTACTCCCACAGCTAACAGTGATATGGCTGATGCATCAGACATAGATTGGCTCGATACTTTCACAATTCAACCGACAGATGTCCTCTTACCTGACATGAACAGCTTGGAGTATTACACCACTCAGTTGACCAAAGAGAACAACAGTTCAGACGCTGGAGCTGAACATAGAGGGAATGTTACCGTGGTGTCCATCAGTGCAACAAATCTCACACCCACCAGCAGCTTCACTAATGATACCAAATTGACTGAGGACGAGTCCTCCAGTGACCTGTCAGGGTTTGAGCCACATGATGAACCAACCATAGTAGTAACCACAGAGGAGAGTCCTCAGCTCATTAATGCCACTGAGCCATTTCTGGATCCTTCCATAGCCTCAACCCATTTTTTTGATCCCTCCTCTTCCACCTTGGGTGGTCAGGTGTCCACCACAGATTGGTCTTCACCTACACTAACTGTTGGTCTGGACAGAACTGTATTAATAGAAACTATGCTACTCAGTGCCACGCCATTGCTGCCAGATGATGTAATGTCTTCCTCCTCTCTGACAGATGTCCATTGGTTTGTTACAGAGTCATTCCCACAGAGTACCATACACACCACTCCTGTCTTAACTGTAACCATAGCCTTCGCCCCTGTTCCTACTGAACCTGCTGCCAACACCACTGCTGGTACAACAGAACTAACTCCCCAAGACTCTACTTTAACAACTGAAAAAACTCTTAATGTCACTTTAGTTTCAACTGAACCCACATCGAATGTCCCCCCAGTCGTATTGGGTGATCAGGGGGTGACTGAAGATGGAGTTGACATCCCAGCCACAGTGACCTTGATCTCAACTAGCAGTGAAGCTAATACAGTCTCTGCTGTACCCACAACTACAACTGACACCACTACTTCTCATCAAGCCACAAGTAGAACCACTGCCACCACTGAAGCCTCAACTAGTGTCAAAATCATCTCTACCACCACCACAACTACAGCACCGACATCAAGACAGTACCTCTGCAACTTTGAAAAGCCTGAGTATTTAGTAGAAATTGGTAAGTTTGGCCTTCAATTATGTTTTGTATTATATTACAGAAAAAAAACTTATAATAACCATGCTTATGCGTTCTTCTGAAGGCTTTCCTTCCGGGGCCACTGTTGGATATGCCAAATCTCAAGTGAGAGATATTCTAAAAGGGGAATTCAACAAGTCAGTGGAACTACAGGTAAATTTATCTCAACAGGGGTTAAGATATTTAATTCATTTTGATCTAATGCTGTGCAAGGTGTTAGCCATCTATTGGCAATTAAGAAGGAAATGCAATGGCAGCATAGTTACATTTTAATGTAAAATAGAATATTTAGTGATTCTGGAGTGGATCACCTGCCGTGTAACATCACATACAGTGGGTGTGTGTGTGTGTGTGTGTGTGTGTGTGTGTGTGTACATTACATTACATTACATTATAGTGGTGCAGATTAACCATGAAGGCCAGACCATTTCCCAAGTTTATATCAGTGGCTCTATGATAAACAAACCACAGAGAGCAGTCACATTGAGATCCAAAGACCGCAGTGACTTCTCAAAAACATCAGCTGCTTATAACACAAGCCACTTTACTTGGAATGAATGACTGTAATGTGTGATCTGTCTATGTCATATATCCTGCTTTGTCTGTGAAGGTTGTGAACCCCCCACCAAAGTTTGTGTTTCGGGTGGTGTCTGGTCCAGTTGTGTACACAGCCATATCTGTCGTCAATGCTCTGCGAAGGTCTGTGCGCCGCTTCCTATCTGTGTCTCCTAACTGGACAACACCAGACAGTAAATATCAAATCCACACAGGTAAATGACCTTTCAGCAAGCTGTCTTGCTGGCAACATTTAAATTGTCTGTGATAACCTTTAGTTTTTAAACTTGATCTAAAACTCTCCTTGTTTTCACTCCATGCAGTGCTGCAGTTTGTTCCCAGTCATATAGATGTGCGGTTCTGCAACTTCAGTGAGAGCATTGAGAAAGGTTTGACCATGGCATTTGCAGAAGTGCGTCGACGCTCAAAGGACTCAACCAACTTCACAGTGCATGTGAGTGACACCAGAAGGCAGGAAAGCATAAGTAGCCTCCCATGAGATGTTTTCATTAGGGTGCATTTCATTGTGGCTTCACACCTCAAAGCTGAATGACTGAATGTACTGATAAGCTCAAGCCTTCTGAATAAAAGCCCTTGTCTGCTAGAGCTGCTTACCTCTAGTGGAAGCTGTAGCTTAACTAAACAGCTTTTTTGTCATACAGAGAAATCTTAATAATAAACTTGGATTGCTGGACATTTGATTGTTGGACACCGCCTCAAGTCATTTAACTAGTGGATGACTGTGATTGCTGCAGCACAGGCTGACTTTTATTGGGATATTGCTTTGTAAACTAAAGCTGTTGTTGAGGCTTTTGGACTTATGGTAAATGAATTGCGGCAGAAATGATTGCCTGAGGAGTTGGAGAAAACTAGTTTATTAAGATCACTGTTCTCTCTAAGACCTCAATTCTGATTGTGACAAACTAGTTTGGTTTGTCACAATCAGATTCATGCTCAATCTGTTCATCCATTCATTTTCCATCATTTATTAGGTCTCTGTGGCGATATCATGGTAAGCATAGTAATCTGGAAATCACTCTTCCCATCCATATTCTCCAGTTTTTACTGTTGGATCTCATTCTGATAAGAGGCCCAAATCACCTCACAAGAGAGGCTATTCTACTACAGGCTTTTCTTGGCTTTCCAAGCACCCTGTGAGCACAGACACCCAGCAAGGGAAGCTCGTTTTGGCCAGCTGTATCCACAATCTCAGTCTTTCGGTCTTGTTGCAGAGATTATGACCACAGGCAAGGGTTCAGACACCTTCAAGCTCAGCTCATTCCTTTCCATGACCTCATTGTCCACCTTACCATCACTCACATGTACAAGACCCCAGGATACTTTTCTTGGATATGTGCACTTGAAGGGGTTCATGCTCTAGTTGTTGAGTATTAAGGAAGATTACTGTTTGTTAATAAAGAGCTTATTTGGCTATGTGGTTGGTAGGCTTCAATAGTTTTGTGTAATCCTATTACACTGATGCCTGTATTATAGTCATTTAGTAGGAATAAATGTAAGGATTAACCAAGCATTTGTTGCAGCATGTTTTATGAACAACTAGCAAACTGTGCCCCTGCCAAAACCTGCTAAATTCTGTGTTCTACTTAACAGTCACTGGTGCCAATGATCTTAAGATAATGAACTTCACTGTAACTCTTTAATAGACAAACAAGCTTTCCCAGAAACTATATCAACAGCAAAATGGAAAATGTTTTGTACATTCTGTTGCGTAATCGTCTGTCTGCTGAACAGTACATATCTGTGTGATTGTGTTTTAGATTGTAAACATCACCATGGCCGCTCCTAAATATCAGGAACAATGGTTAGTGAGGCAGCCGGTGGACATCACCTTCACTGTGCGCAGTTCAAGGGGTTATTTGATGGGGTCAGAGGTCAGCAATGCTCTGATGAAGCTCACAGTTGTGGAATTCAGCTATTACATGGGCTTTCCAGTACTGCAGATTGCGGAGCGTAAGTACCTCAGAGTTGTCCCTCTATATTTGAGCTATTTCCACTTACTCGTATTTCACTTACTGTAATAGCCGGTGCTATATCAGTGTTTTCTGATTCTGATCACATCACAAACATTATTTTGTACCTTTTCCAACAGCTTTCCATTACCCAGAGTTGAACACCAGCCATTTGCTTCGCTCCTCCTGGGTCAGAACAGGTATCATTGTTTCACTTCTTGGCATGGTGAAAAGCTGGTACTGTACTTGAGACCTTTTTGTGCCAATATTCTGTGTGTTATTTCTGTTGTCTGTGTACATAGTGCTCCTGGGTGTGCTGGACCAGAAAGTGAATGAGAGGATCTTCCAAGCCAGCATGGAGCGTCGGGTGGCCATGTTACTCGGGGAGGCAATGGGATTAGTCAGACGTGTAAGGAGAGCAACCACTATAGGAAACAGCAGTGTTCAGGTACAATGTATATATTTATTGCTGTACTTAGATGTATTTACAGCTGTAAGCCTTTGGATAAGATAATACATATGGTGCAAAATCTACCAAGAAATGTAAGTATTGTATTTTCATGTCAGTTTTGGGGGGTGAAATGGTCGGACAGATAATTTCACTTGTATGAAATAGAAGTTTACAGAATGTGTTGCCTTTAGTCAAGTGACTTTATCTTGAACCGTTCAGTTGCTGTTCTTGTCGTCTTTTTTTCAACATTCTGTCTGTTTTTAAAAATTCTCAAAATAAGTTAAACTAAATAAGAAACCAGTCACATTTTTCATCAAAACTCAATACCAGACTGTATGGTGTATGTTCACGATAAGCTTGCAATATTTGTCTCTGGAAACAGTATATAGTATACAATAGAAATACTAGTTTAATATCTTGTTCATTATAGAACAAAACTTTCAAAAGTCTTTAACAGGAAGTTTGTTAATGGATTACTCACAAAATCTTAAAAAGGCTTCCTTCCTTGTACCATTTATATCATTATTCCCTGATGCAAGCTCTCTCTAACTACCTTGCTTGAGTACTGAGGCCTCATTATGTGAGCGTTGCAGTGTTTGTAACCACTGAAAGCCTTACTGCTTTACTAATCAGGCTCTAGCTTTTGTGGGTTCTCTCCACACCTGCTCTGCTCATCTCAAAGGAGACAGGATAGGGCTCTGTCTCCATGACAACAGCATCCCATTCAGCCCAGAGGCAAGCCACTCACAGACCACAACCTCATGAGTCCTTGTTCTTTCTGCTCTTCCTCATTTCTCTGGTCCTGTTACTTGATGGCTCATGTGAGCCACAGAGCTGCTAAGAGCAGATCAATTATTAATTGTTTCTCTTGCTCTGTTTCTTATCCTGCAGTCGGGATGATTAGAGTGTGTGTCTGTTGTTGAGAGGGTAGGCATTATGGAGGAAGAGATACAGTGACGGGTAGGTAAAAGATTCACAAATCAGTGGAAGAGGGAGAGCAAAACATAAAGAGACTTGTTATGAGAGACAAGAGATGCATATTTGATCTCTCATGAAGTCTGACTGCATATGGTGGTCTTTAAACAGGGGGGCTGTCAGAGTGATAAATACCATCCTTTGCTGCAGAGCAGCCTGACTCTTTCTGACCTTTCTGCCTCCATAAATGGTCTCCATAAAACCCACAGAGTAATTTAGGAGAATGGAGGACCATATTGGTGGTGAACATTTAGTGTCTGTCTCTGTGCTAAATTTAGATCTCTAATTTTAGGCTTTGGCATTCTTGCTACCTTTCAAAATAATATTTTTCTTCACAGTAACAAATATGAATATGTGTGATACATAGAAGTCTTATTATGTGCTTGTGTTCATTCCAGCCTTGGTAGAATACTGTCATTAGGTAGGCTAGTTTGGTCTTTTTCTTTCTATCTTTTTTTTTTTTTTTTACATTTCAGAAACGCTCATCTCTGAGTGTGTGTGTGCGATATAATGAGAGTGAGATGACTCAGAACTTAAGAAGAATCCTTTGTCTCGCTCTCTTGCACACACACACATATACATGCACATATCTCAGACAGATGCCCTAGACTGTCATGACAGAATCAGTGTGGTGTTGTCACCTATGAGAATACTTTATGAGTCTGCCTAGACAGATAAAAGAAGGGGTTGTGGTCATGCAATAACACACACATTCACGCTGCCATCTTTCCACTCTAATAACCGTGCATGGACTGGGTTAGACTCTGGATGAGGGAGCCTGCCCAGCCGTTTTTCTTTGTCAACCCATGCATGACCTGCGCTTTACTCTTTCCAGTAATGTAGACAGCAGACTGTGATGCGCCTCAGGGCACACAGAGGGAGACTGCACACACACAGACGTATTAGACAACATGGAGAAATATTTAAACAGTGAATACTCAAATGGGAATACAGAACGCGAGTTGATATATAATGAGTGTGCTATCATATATATATTTTTTTATGTATACATTTTTTATACATCAAAGTAATAGACCAAATAATGGAAACATGTTATTTAAAAGGACTTGCTAGTACAGCTACACAGGAGTCATGTTAGGTGTTACATGTGATGTTACAATACATAGAAATACATACACTAAAAATTGACATTTATTTCTGTAAGTTTTTTTTTAAAATTCAGACAGATCAGAGAGAGAGTCCTTGAATGTGTAGTTTCACTGGGATGTTTCATTGGGGACTTGTATAGTAAGTTTCAATACAGCACATGGCAACTAAGTAAGCCACATAGTTGGTGCCTGAATTTAAGTTTCTGCAGTCACAAAAACTCAAAAATGATTAACGTTTGCAGGGTTCCATACAAAATTAGGGATCACACTCTCCATTAAAAAGTAATTTTTATTATTGAAATTGTGACACATTGCACATTAGGACATTCATTAGACTTTCCATTTTTAATGTAGAGAGACTAGTGCTTCACTTTCAATGGATCCTATGTTCATTTTTGGAAGCACCTCTTTTCCAGTTGCTTGAGCACTGTCTATTAGACTCAAATGTTGTGGTCGGGAAACATTTACAGATGGAAACCTCAAAATTAGCGAGAGACTGATTAATCAGCAGATCGATTAATTGGGCCGATATCTGGCATTTTGAGATGCCTGCATTCACAAGGCTGATATACCAGCCTAAATGACAGATGAGCAGATCTAAACTAAAACCATTACTGGCTAGCATTTTGATATATGTTATACTGTCAAGAATTATGCAGTTGAATGACAATAACAATACCATTTAAACACCAGTCACTTTCTGTCATGTACAGCATAACCCAATGATTTTTTTTTTGAAGGTTCATTAATTAAAAAGAATTTCATCTAAAACAACACGTTACTGGCTAAAATTACATGTATATTGTACTCTGCATAGAATAATGGAATTATACATGACTTTTCTTTGTTTTGATATTGGCGTTATATGTCAGCCATCGGCCACCCTGCTCTCTAAATATCTGCATCGGCCATTAAAAAAAACATATATCGGTCGAACACTAGTCTAAGTTAAAACACGTCACACAAATAATGTTAATTTTGCTGGAATTGAAGTGAAGGTCACACTAAGACATAATTTTCTGTGATCTCGCCAATTGCCAGATTCAAACTTCCTAACATTTATAAGAAACAGATTTCCATCTCTTTTATCACATATTTATACTCAGTAGCTCAACTCAAGCAATTCAAGACTTGGATAACAGTGTTCAGAGATTAATTAAAGCTGTTTTGATGACAAAGATTTACATCTTATTAAGTATTGGATATTTGTTCAGACCAAACCTGTTATATTATAAATCTTCATGTGACTCTTGCGTCATCTGAACTGTTAAAAATAAGTTTCTAATTCGTACTCCACATGATTTCATGTAGATGGTCGGGCAAATAATCACTGTACCTTTGTGCTTTTCTTTTCTCATCACAGGTTGTAAGTACGAGCCGTCTGGTGGGTGTGGACCATCCCTTGGAGATAGTGTATTTTGTGGAGGGTCCCAGTGGTCAGAGGATGCTTGCAGTTCAAGCAGCCAACCTACTCAACAGCCTGGATGTTCAAAGGGCTGCCATCATCTTGGGTTATCGTGTCCAGGGCATTTTGGCACAGCGTGAGTACTTCTTACAAAACATTCGAGGTCAACAAAGCAATGTAGTGATTAATAAGATGTGTTTTTTTACCAAAAAAAGAAGGGACTTACCTATTTATTGTGAATAATTATTGTATCCTTAATGTTGTTACTGTTACCATTGTTGTTTTGTTGGTATAGGTGTACTGCAAGGACCTTTTGCAATTTGTTATGTGAATTGCACAGCTCAAAGTAAGTTTTCAAGGTAGCTGCACTTGATTAGAGCTGTTGGAGGTATTAAAACATAGTGACAAAAAAAAAGACAAACGGGCACAGTATTAGGAAAATTGTTTACAAGCTCGAAATAAGAAAAAAAAAAAAGGATACATGTTAACTGCTGGCTTCATGTGTTCTTTTGCATGTTTATAGTAACATTTGACCTTACTACCTCTCCTTGTACACATAGTATCAAAAGACTGTCCTCCTCATTAAGAATCTAAACAAGGGAAGAAGGCCTAATGAGAGCCCCTCAAGGGAGTTCTGTCTCTGTGCAGTCTGTGTTCTCCTATGGTACTTTCCCAAGGGATAAAATGAGTTAATTAAAACTAATGAAGGTCTGCATTGAAGATTACAGCAGTGAGACAAGAGCCAGCATTCCAACGACACTGCATGTTTAGCTGCATTCCCAAGGTGTTTGTAAATAGGCTTAAAGGGAATAAAAGAATATGCTTGAAATATTGAACCACACACACAAATGAAAGGACTCAATAGTGAACATTTGTGTATGAAGCTCAACTTGAAATGAAAAACTCACAGTCACTCTCTCAATGTCTCTGTCTAGCTGTGGAGAAGGTTGCGTCCTCACCCTCTGACGCTGAGAACAACAACATGTGGATCGTCATTGGGGTGGTGATTCCACTCCTTGTGGTCATCGTCATCATTTCCATCCTGTACTGGAAACTGTGTCGTACAGACAAGCTGGAGTTCCAGCCCGACGCCATGACCTCTATCCAGCAGAGACAGAAGGTAGAGTCTGATCAGTGTTGTGCAATGTCTGACTTCACATCTGACTTCATTATGTTTGTGTTTCAGTGTCATTTCAGATGTACAGTTCATTCTTTAAATATGTGAAATATGTAAGTTGAAAGTAATTGTAATATCCTTCATGAAGAAGAGAAAACAGTATTTCAGTAGTTATCCAACGAAGGTTAAAATCAAGGGCAACTGGACTTGGTTGAAGATACTGGAGACGTTTCGTCCCTCATCCAAAGGACTTCTTCAGTTCTGACTGACTCAGATGGTTTGAAAGAGGTGTCAAGGAAGCCCATCTACACCAGGGTTGAGAAGCCGTCATTGAACAGAGGAGGGGGTCTACGCCACCACTTATCCCCCACTTACAATGCTGTCCTTTCATCACTTCCCAGGAAACTCAACAAACGTAACCTATTGGCCTCAGGTGAGGATACCAACGATGGTCGTTCAGTCTTGGCCACCGGTAGTCTTAACGACTGTAACGACTGTCGTCACAGCAACAAGGAACACTAACGAACCAGCGGTATCGATGACCCGGGGATAACGACCCCACTGAGGTTAAATAGCTGAGTTTCCCTGCCAGTCAGTCAGAACTGAAGAAGTCCTTCGGATGAGGGACGAAACGTCTTCCAGTATCTTCAACCAAGTCCAGTTGCCCTTGATTTTAACCTTCGTTGGATAACTATGACCTGGATGACTGAGAATCTTCATAGACAGTATTTCAGTAGGTTTCCAATATTAAGGTATTATTTTATATATTACGACGTTATAGGAATCGTTTTTGGGAGAGAAATAGTTCCAACCTGCAACTCCCCGTAAAACACAGTTTGTGGTTAAAAATTTCAGTTAGTGTTCAGATTTAACAATGTTAACTAGTGATCTTTAGAGATGCTGGTAGGCATATTTTGTAGCTTTGGTGTTAACCAGGCTAGCTGTGTCCCCCTGCAATCCTCCCAGATATGAAAGTGGTATTGATCTTCTCATCAAACTCTCAGCAAGAAAGCACATCTAATTTAAGAAAAGTTCAACCAAAAAAGGCGGCCCATGGTTGATGGACAGTGATAATCACATCACTGTTATGTACATTACTGTACACATTACTGTACATATCACACACAACTTGCTGACCTATGTATTTAAGGTGTTACATTATGTTCACTTGTGTTAATGTCCAAGCCAGTTTCCCAAACATTATGTGTTCTGCACAGAAATGTTCAAGGCAGCTGATGTGGAGAGCCAGAAAGATGGGACCACTGTCACATGGATTGCTAATTAATTTGGTGTATCTATCATTGCCACAGATGTGCTGGAGGACTGAGCAGAATCTGAACTTGACCATTTCTTCTTTTAGATTAGATTAGTAAAACTTTAATGATCCCAGAGATACTTATTAGAGGACATGGGCTGGATTAAAAGTCATGGTGCTGGTAGTTCATGAAATGGGCTGCTCTTTTATCTCATTCAAAATGTCCTTACATACTCATTTTATTTCCAGTTTGTGAAAATCAAATAGCTTCTCCTTCTTTTTTTGCCTTGACTTGAAATAGAAACAATGCCATTTGACTGCTCTGAGGCTTTTTCCTGTCTTTGTATTACCTCTCTCTTACTTTAAAGCACATGTGCCTTCTGCCCTAAAGTTAATTGACAAAGAAAGATTCCTTCTGCTCTTTGCTGCTCCCTCATAACATACATCCAGATGAAGTAATATCTTTAAACAATAATGAAATGACATGCTCTATGCTGTAGTCTTTGCTAAAATCAATTCAGTCAACTTTAGACCAAGAAATAGTTCTGTGACCCTGAATTATATTCTGGGCTGGTGATGTTAGTTTTACCAAAGTAAAATTAATTTGACACACAGTGAACTGCACAATAGTGCAACTTTATACTTTAAATCACTACCAATAGCTAACATTTTAAAAGCCCAGCTATCATGCAGTGTTTAGGTCTTTTTTGTTTTGTTTTCATGTAAGGGATGGGAATAAACTTTTGTTTCAGTTCCAAGTTTGTCATGTATGGTGTGCACAGGCGTGTGGCATTTCTGCTGTGTTGCAATGACCAACAACAGTGGCAGAGAGCTTTGCATTCTCTGTAGCACAGCAGTAACTGGATCTCCAAGTAGCACACACCTGCAGAGCTTTTTCTCAACTGCCGCTTCACAGTCTAGTCCCAGTGATTCTTTCATCCGTGAATTTAGATGTTGCTGACACAGAAATACCAGCCTGTTTGTGGGGCGTGTGTGTTTGTTAGCTTACTGGCTGATCTTTCACATTGGGTTAAATGAAAGAATCAAATGTGCAGAAGTAACTATGACTTACCCTGCCTTCTCTGCTTAACACAATCATCTGTCACTTAACATCACTCCCCCTCTCTCAGTCTACTACCTCATTCAGAGAATCAAGGACCTCTCTTCACCAGATACTCCCTCCAACTAAAAAGGACATAGAGTTTAGTGAGGGGGAGTATGAGGAAGAGGAAGAGGAGTATGAAGAAGAAGAGGAGGAGGAGGAAGAGGAGGAGGAGGAGGTTAAAAGAGGGAAGGTACAGAGCAGTGTCTGGTGGTTTCTAGAAGATATAGCAGATACTTAGTTTATGTGTGTGTTTGCTGTCTGAATAGTAGTTGTTCAATTCTTGCACAGTTATATAAATAACAACACTAGTCAGCAGTTAATAGTCCAGCTTTTGAGTTTTGGGATATGTAAGAAACAGAGACAATAGTATCATCCCTCAAAGTATTTATGCTATTCACCATTGCTTCTGCTTAGAGACCAGCTCCTCTCAAGAGCAAACACAGTATGAGCAGTGAGGAGGACGAAGAAGAAGAAGAAGAGGAGGAAGAGGAGGAAGAAGAAGAAGAAGAAGAAGAAGAGGAGGAGGAGGACGAAGATGAGGACAAAGATCAGGAAAGGGAGAGCTTTAAACAGAAAGGAATTAAACCAGATGAGCAAAGGAGACAAGAGAGGAAAGCAATGATAATGAAAACAGGAGAGATGGAGAAAGAAGACAAAATGAAAGTGTTAACTAAAGGAAGGAAAGCAATGGCAGAGGTATATTGTTCAGTAGCCATAGAGACTAGTTCTTGTGTTTGTCAATAGACATTAGGATCTTCCTTTACACAGTTGTAATGTCTAGACACAGAAAATCCAGTATTACACATTATGGTGGACTTCCCTGTGGACTGGAATAGTGGTGTGTTTATAGCCTTGAGATCCTATGGAATATATAGTTATCAATATGTTGTGAAGTAGTAGATTTATAGATGTCATTTTGCATGTGTCAACTGTTACGATTCCCCCATTTACAATTAGACCAGGCTAAGTTGTAATTAGTGAGTACATGACTAGCTGTGTGTTTTCTTTCGCTATTTCAGCTCCAGCTTTTTGCTTTCACTTGTTCCGACTGGCCTTGTTTATGTGCCGTGCAGAGCAGCACAGACAAACACATACACACACTCTCTCTCTCTGGATTAGCAGCATGACACTGGATTAGCAGTTTTATACCAACATGCCTCTTCTAAGCCAGACATTTTGCATTAATAAACTCAGTGAGTGTACGTATAATTAACAGAAACATCTCATGTCACTCTTCTGTCCCCTTGTGTACACAATTCAGTGTCATAAGACCAGAGTTTCACAAACTGCAAGCACACATACTGAGATCTGACATCCTGTTTTTACTCCTTTGCTGTTGGAAAGTCCCGAGGGATTTACACTCAAATAGTCTCACTGCTTCCATCTACAGCCTCCGTCCCTCACCACCTCAAATGAAAGCAAGCAGCACAATGTTCCCAGACTCTTCTCTTCCTGTCCCTTAATGTGTGTCTGTCCCTCCTGGACATCTATTCACTGTCTAAACTATTTGCCACCGTGGCTTAAACTGCAGATTAATGTCATCATGCAGCAATGTCCTATTCAAATATTATTCCACTTAAAGATGATTAACACTAAATTATTACAATTACATATCATTAATACACAGTATTATTAATACATGGTCTTGTTGATCTTTACTCACACCCTCTCTCGGACCTCTGTAATTCCTCCCATATGTCTTTCCACCTTTCTTTCCATTCCTTTGTTCCTTAAACCTCCTGTCTTTCCTCTTCTGCCTCTGTCCTCAGTTGCAGGCTCCCAGTGTGAAAGGCTTTGACTTTGCCAAGCTGCACCTTGGCCAGCAGAGTAAGGATGATGTCATGGTGATTCAGGAGTCTGTTCCGCCAGGGTCTGGCCCTGGACCCCTGCCCATGTCCATTAAAGAGGGCCTCACTCCATCTGAGAACGGCGACATCCCCACTCCCATATCCAAAACCTCAGCCTCCTCTACCAAGGCATCCCGCAGCGGTCGGAGGCGAGAGAGGTCAGTGCTTTTTCATGGTACAGGGAAAACTGTTAATGATGAGTTCTTTGAGAACATTAAATTACAGGTTATGTCTATATAGGCCATGCTGTCATAAAGTTACGTAACAGAAAAACAGTACCAAAAAGAGGACCTGAATTAACATTACTAGTTCATTTAACTAGTGTTTTGCTTAGTGATGGTCAAGAGGTCTGATTAGTTTTTCTTTATCCAGCACCTGGTCATAAAACTCACTCTTTACTCACAGTTGGTTTTAATCATCAACCCAATACAGATATTAAGATATTTATTTAGATATTTCATAGAGCTTGTTTTTTTACCCATCACTCTGATTTTCCACTCACCGCATTTGGGTCAGTCATCCAGACAAAAAGCTTTTGACAGATCCTCAGATCAATTATTTATGCGCTAGACAGTGAGGGATCTTCTATTGCTCTTGCATTCTGTCAGTTTGTCTATATAACTTATATTAAGTTATGATAACATACACATAATGTATTTACCTGCTTTAATAATTAAATTATAATTTTGAGTTTTTTCAGTTTTGCATTGTAATAATGTGTTCAGGAGAATTTTTACACCATTACCACCATGTCCCCCTAACTGTCCTGAACAAAAGACAACATCTAAACATTAGTAAAGGAGTTATGCGTTATTGCTAACTTCCATAATTAGTTCATTGGAATGTGGGATTGACATTGGTTGTTTCTCCTCACTTATTACTAAGAACAAATGAATTGAGAATGTCATAATTCTGCCTTTGGAAATACTTTCAAGGACACACATTTTCCAGTACAAGCTTTAAATCATATTAACATTTCTTAATAGAAAACCCCCCACCTTTTACCTTTCTGAGTTTACACATGGCATTTCAGCATGTAACGTGTTCTTTTATTATACGTGTGTGTGTGTGTGTTCATGTTCGTGTTCTCCGGGTAGGATCTCGCCGTCCGACGGTGACTCGGTAGTAAGTGAGCGTTCCAGTGAGCAGGAATCAACTGAGAACCTCAGAGCCCACGCCACACCCAGCGACAGCAAGCAGACCCGTAAGGTCCCCATCAATGTTTTAAATGGCAAGTGGCCTTGGCAACACTCACATCACTCCTCCAAACACAGAGAGCAAATATGTGGGGGGAGGGGACGGAGGAAGCTGAAGGGATTGGGCAGACATAAAGAGATAAAGAGAAAGCAACTCAAGCTGCCATGAATTGATTGACAGGAGGGTCAGACTAAGGGCAGAGGAGACAGTCAAGTGGTGGAAAAAAAAGATAAAGCAGAGAAAGACTGAGGAAAAGTGCAGCGTCAACCCAAGCAGTGACATAAAGATTACAGAGGGGAACAGTGAGGGTAAAAGAAACACCTGGTAGGAACTCTACTGGTGGTCAAAAAAAGTCCAGCGAGAGGAGGGAGAAGGGAATAGGAGTGGGGGAGATATTTCTGAAGTTACTCTATCTGACAGCTTGTTGATAGATTCAAGCCTGCTCTGCCACTCAGTGACTACGTGCTGGAGCCAGAGGCAGTCAGGCACAAAGACTACAGCCTGACTCACCCACAGAGGAATGGTCTCTGTTTTGTTATTGATTAATCTCCGCCTGGGACTGTATATGCTGCGCCACAATGTTTATAAGTAGGTTGTATGTAAGACACACTTAGCATTATGCAATGTAGCATCATTCGTTTTGCCTGTGTTTTGATCTGTGTGCGTTCTGCTCATCAGAAGTAGCTCCTTCCTTTCCTTTCTCTGATTAATGAACTTCACAGACGAGAAGCTTTAATCAGCTGCTGCCTTTCCCTCTCTCTTTGCTTCTCCCCTTTATTTTTCTTTTCATTTCTAAGAGTTTAAGTCGCACTCAATCAATACAGTAACTATGTCTGTCTTAGGTGATTTTATTTGATCTCCTTCACCTCAATAAAATTCCTTTTCCTTTTTTACAGGCAAGAATAGAATTGGTAAGAGTTTGTTCTCTTTGTGTCCCCGTAAGACCTCAGTCTTGACCTCCAGCAGCTATGTCTGTGTGTTGTCTGTTTGTTTCTGTGGTAGTTTTGTGCTCGGCCTGTTCTCACCATCCATCATGGCTGCTGAAATGTCAGTCACAGTGTAGAGACAATCAGCTTCACAAACAAAAGCAAAGCCATTGTTTGAAGCGAAGTTTAGCTTTTGCAATAGAATTCAGTGCTCATTTCATGTTACCGCCGGAAACATTTACTCCACGCTTTTGTTATAAGTCATATTTCAGAGATATCCTTGCGCAGTAGTGCTCTGTCCCCTAGCTTAAGTCAACATTAACATTTAGACTTGCAGTGACTACACTTTGCTGACTTCTGTTTATCTGCTTCCTTCCTCAGGTCCTCCTCCTATGAATGGTACAAATGAGCAACTGTCATCAGCTTCCATCTTTGAACATGTTGATCGGATTTCTCGTGCCACAGATGCAAGCAGGAGACTCCCCAATAAAGTCCAGCTTATCGCCATGCAGCCAATGCCTGTCCCACCTCTACACAGCCCACCCATCAATGGCAAAGTTTCTGACCCCAACCAAATCAATAAAGAGGTTTGCTTTTGGCAAAAACTTTCTTTAGCAACTAAATTAATTATTAATGAATTAATAATGTATAAACATTGTTTATTTCTAAAGTATGAAAGACTGCTAATGGTGAGGGAACAATTCGAGTGACTGGCATTTTAGACATTCCTCAAACTGGAAAAACGCAGAATTTGGTTTGGATTAAAAAGGTGAATCATTTACTTATTCAACCTTACCTGTGAAAACACACACACACTGTAAATTATCTCCCGAAGGACAGCCAACACTGTCATCTGATCCTGTTGAATTTTCGTCTTTATTACGTGAGAAAATTACAGCATTTCAAGCCCAAACTGGAACAGAGAAATCAAAGACTTCAGTCACTTTTATCAGTGTAATAAAGAAGACTTAATAGAAACAGATAACAGCGTTGTAAGGCCTTTGGAAAATAAAATTCTCTAATTGACTGGTTAAAATATACAGAAAATGATTTATTGTCTGATGCTGCCGTTGTTCTTGTGGTTTGTCTAACATCTACAGTCTATCAGTTCATATTTGAAGGCTGTTGTCTAATGAGGTCATTTTCTCCTCAGATTCAGGTGGCATTGAGGCACAAGTCAGAGATAGAGCACCATCGTAACAAGATTCGTCTGCGTGCCAAGAGGAAGGGCCACTACGACTTCCCCACCATGGATGACATGACAAGTGGCCTCGGAGAGGCGAAGGACCAGGACCGCATCTATCAGAAAGCACAGATACAGATCGATAAGATCCTGGACCCGGATGCCCACATGTCCTCCATCTTCATGGGATCCAAGAAGAGGTTAGGGCTCATGTTTTGGGTCATTGCACTTATTTGGGTTGGTGGTGGACAAGTTGGTCTGTGTATGCAGTTTGGGTGTGTGGGGCTGACTACATTTTTAATAAAATACAAAATACTTATAAATTGATGAATAGACATTTCTCCTATTCTTTCTCAGTGGTCGGGGGAGACGCTCTCCCAAACAGAGGATGAAGGAGCAGCTGAATGGAGGCATGATGGAAGCAGACAAAGATCACCTGATCACTGAAGACAGTGATGCTGCATACAGAAAGTGTCCTGGAGTCAACAATGTGGCCTACGTAGTGAGTAGCAGTGGAGAACCATGACATTTGTACAATCTTACACATGCTGTATAACCTCTATGTCACTTAACTGTATGTATATATGTTGTGTTTATTGCAGTCGGACCCTGACCAAGGCCCAGGATCCCCTCACAGGAGCCCTTCCCCCACCGATGACGTCTTCCTTGGTCCCGCTTCCTCTCCTCCAGGCCATGCCCCTCCCCCACCTCCCTACTTGCCCCCACAGCCCTCCATTGAGGAGGCGCGGCAGCAAATGCACTCCCTGCTGGACGATGCCTTTGCCCTAGTGTCGCCTACCTCTCAGGGCAGCACTGCAGGGATCACTCTCCCAGGGGTCAATGCCAACCCTTCTGGCTCCAGCCCTCCAGGACGTGGCCCCAGACCTTGGGGTCCCTCCTACCAAGCTCTTGGCCCTTTCCCTGGTGTAAGTAGCCGCCCCTGGCATTTATATCTACAGGAGCATTAACCATAAAGCCAACATAAATTCATACTGCTTTCATGTTGCACTGAACAAAATGATTAGTTTAAGTTCCTGTAAAATGTATTTCATCATTTTATTTCACTAATCTGGGGACGGATTAAGAGAAATAGGCTCCCTGTTTAAATTTGTAATAGCAGAACAGCAAAACAGACGTGTAAAATCCTTTGTATTCGCTATTTCCGCCCTTTCTCAAGGTTTTTTCAGCTCATTCCCAGCATGAAGCCTATAGCTTAAAGTTTAATCGTGTCCTCTTAGCAAACTAATCAGTTAAGTATTCCTCCATCTGTTGCCCCCATGGAGCTACAACCTTACAACCCCTGTCAGCTAAGACTCTACAGTAATATGCCCTGCGTATGCTCGGTCTGCAGTAGCTCCTGTCAGTATAGGCTGGTTTCAAAGAAGGTACAGTCATATAACTGCTCTGATGGCTGCTGGAATAACAGGCCCAGTGTTTGCTTTTGTTTTTGTATTTATGTTCAGGCTATTTAGAGGAGAGAAGAGAAGGCCAGTTGAGCAGGGCTACAGTTTGTTAACACATTAAACTTGAAGAATACTGTGCATGAGCAACAAACTGTGTTCATAGTGTCTCATGTTACGGGTGTTGCCAAGAAAAAAAAGTAGAAGTTATCTACAGCTTATCCCCTTCTTTGAAATAAGAGCTGAGGTAAATTATTTTTAAGGTTTTCAGTACCCATGGGCATTATATGTGATAAGTTGTGAGTTAGCAGAGCATTATATTAGCGTTAAAGGGAGCTGTAAAGATTTTTGACCATTAAATCATTCAGAATAGATTAGAGTGCAGATGCGACCATGCATTGCACCCTCTCATTGGATAAAATAAGTACTGTATAGTATTGTTGTTTTATGGTACTAAAACTAAACATATTCTTATCTTGACTGTAGATTAATTAATTGAACTTGTCAATTGTGTTCTTAAAATGTATACTTAAATGCATTTTACAGCTATCAACATACATTAATCACTACTCCATTATAGTCCAACACTGGTGTTCACCCCAGGTGACAAACAGACATAACAGTAGGCAGTGGAGCCATAAAAAGCTATTTGCTGGTTCTGCTTTTGATGGTTCAGTGCTTTAATATGCTGTAAAAGGTCAGCTGTAAAAAAGAAGGATATCCAACAAAACCATGCTTAGAAAGATCAGCATTTTCTACAGTATATGAAGTGAGCCCCACTGCCCAATTATGTACTGTAAGACTGAACGATTAATTGTGATCTTATCGCAGTGTCATAAAACAAGATTTTCTAATCGCAAAGGCTGCATTACACTCTGGTCACATGACACCGAAGAGTAAAGCATTCTGTAGACAAAGCATCAACTTCGTACGTTACGCTGTACCTTGACTTGTTGTACAATGGCCTTAAGCTTGACAGAAGCTGACAGGACAGGAAATACACATGTAGTAAGGTAAGCGTAGTGTGGCGATGGGCGCCTTCGTCACACACACAGCCACCAGTCAGTTCAGGAAATATGAATGTGAAATGGCGTTTCAAACCAAACACACAAGTCTGAAAGAGGCCCAGTCTGTCCCAAGTTACAGTCTGGTTACAGCCAGTACACTGCTTACCAGCATGGGAGGCTGTGGGGGTCTCCGGTGTTGTCAGAGAATTACCAAGCTTGTCTTTTTCAACACGAGAGGCGTCACTTGGTTTTATTTTTGTTGGCCAACTTTTGAATTGAACCTCAAACTGAGTATTTTTGTTTGCTTACTGGGATATAGAAAGATCTCCTAGGAGATTTGACCTGATATAAGGACGCATTAATTGGTGGTTGAACTGTGGGGTTTTTTGTCGGCTGTAGGTAGGCCGACCTGATGATATTATATCATAATATTTAATGCCATGACATGACTATCAAATTATATTTCTCATATTATTAAAATTTGATACTTCTTCTCCACCATTGCTCATAATTATAATTCATGCAATTCATCCATTCCTGCTAATTTCATCATAACATAGGTCTGACCCACAAGAAAGACAGTGTATGTTTAATCTATCTAATATTGTGTTGGTCATTCTATACAATGATTTACTGCTTACCATTTTGAATAATACAGAAGGTAGAGCTTAAAAATTAAACGCATATTAAATAGCAATATTTCTTTAAAAAAATCGCAATTACATTATTTTCAAAAATCGTTCAGCCCTACTGTACATGGCAGTAGGAACAGTACTGCTTTGCTTTTATAAGAAATATCAACATCCACTGTGAGCTCTCTTTGCATTAATTGGAATATTATTTTATATCTGCTATATCTGAATACAGTATAAAAGCTGATACATATACAATTTGTGAATATTGTATATTAAGTTGATTATATTGTTATACAGTGTTTGTCATTACTATTGTTTCTCACTTTCTCTTAAGCGCTGTGTGTCTTTCCTTTTGTTTTCTCCAGAGGTTCACTGAGCTAAGCATGTCCCCTGCTTCTATCCAAGGTCTGACACCAAGGTTAGTAGAGCAGACCATGAAAATTGAGTATTCATGTATAAAATTTATAAATAATATGCATATTTGACATTCGCTTCTTCCTACACCGACATTATTTCTTATTGATCAGAACGACCGGATTTCCACCACTTTACCAGTGGGAATGTTTTCCTTTAGGAGCATCCACTGAATTGGGCCTCATGAATAAGGAATAAGAGTCATCTTTATTTTATTGGTTTAATGGATCAGGTCCAAGCAGTGGTCTCTTAACTCACTCCAAAAAGACCAAGGCACCCATTCACACTCACACGTTCATGTCATAACACAGATACAAACACTGTGCAGGCACAGCGCCAAGAGTTTAAGCAGGTTTTTTCATGAAGTCCATTCAAAGCAGAGCAGCCAAAGGAACCTAACTGGTGTATTTGTGGTCAAACAACTTATCACCACCAGAAATTTGAGCACAGTGGAATTAAAGTATCAGCAGCAGCTATCAACCACTTGGTATGACTATACTAAGTTAAATCTTGTACCACACACAGTAAAAGACACTGCAGAATCAGGGTGTATGGTCATGCATGCAAACAGCCACAACATACACAGTATGAAATGTCCAGTAGGTCTGTCCTCACGCATACTAAAATGATATGCATCATGTTCCATATCAGTGCATTTTCATTAGATTACTTAACCATTAAGTAGGTGATTGGTCTTTAACCTGACGGTCGACACCGGCAGGAGTCCATGTTGTCACAGTATTTGTAGAAAAGTTGCTGAGTTGGATGTTCCATATTTTAAAGGCTCCTTTAATATGATAGCGTAGAGACTGCAGCTGAGAAGAATTGCAATTAATTTGTCACAATAGATTTTTAATTAAATCACAACCAGGTGAATGGAAATACTTTTCTTTGTGTTTCAGGCAGGGCCATGGCTCGAGCTGCCTGCCACCAGGAGAAACAGTCGTCCAATGTGAGCAGCTTCAGCCAGAAAGCCTGTACTCCAGCAGGGGCCTCTATGCTGATGAGCTCCCCTCATCTGCCAGGCCGCGACCAGTTGGGGGAACTACAGGTACAAGTAGAAATTGTCCACATGGAGACACACAAACAGCCATAAACTTGTTTTTATGCCTAATAATACTGTTGGATTCAGATGTTGCACTGACCTACAAAGCCCTTATGTCTTAAACTCATTTGAACTTCTTACATCTTCATTTAAGTGCAAAACAGTTTCATATGAAAAGACAAAAACACACCTCAAGAATTGAGGTTGATAAACTTATTTATTGTCGACATACAGTGTGTTTTTCTGTTGACAGTTTATTTTAGATCATTTCTAATGCTTAATACAGACACATACCTCCACCCCAGAAACCTGTCAAACTGAAAGAGCCTTGTCTCTCTTAAATTATTAAGGGAGCCAGCGTGATGCTGCTGCCATCATGTGACTTACACTAATAGAAATGGATTCTGGCTTTTACCATATAGAGCGCAGCGCAGCAGAGACAGACGGAGTGCTTTTCAGACTGCTGTGATTGCATCGAAGTGTATTAAAGGGACTGCTGACGATTGAGTGTCAGGTACTGTAGCCCTGATGTGTGTGTGTGTGTGTGTGTGTGTAGGCGCCCATCTCCATCATCTTACACAGGTGGGATTGTCCAGCCGGCTGAACGGTTACCCAGCAGGGGTCAGGGCTGCTTCAGGCCAGAACGGAGGCATTGGCTGGAACCACTACCAAGATGACAATTTCTCCAGGACAGAGCCTGAGAAAGATGCAGTGAGTGAATCACAGATTTGATTTTGCGTAATATTCTATCCATTAAAACCTGAAATGGAATAAAATTGTGCTTAGGGCTGTAAGAGACTGGAGAAAAGTATTAAGAAGCAGACTTAAAACCTAGACATTTTTGGTTTTTATCTTTTCTACAGAATATAGAATGATGCTGGCTTTATCCTTTAAACTCTTTGTTTTTATATATGTTTAGTTCTGAAAATCTCTTCTAGTTCTCTCTTCTCTCCTACTCTCTATTTCTGTCACTTAATATTCTTTTTACATGTTTCCTCCTGTTCCTCGTTCTCCATTTCTTTGCCCTTTCTTTCTGCCTTCAGTTCCTGGACTGTCCTGACTACTCGTCCTCTATCCTCCAGACACCCAGAAGTGGCATCAGGGAGCCTTCGGCACCCCCTGCCCACCTAGACATCCCAGGATTGGGCTATATGTCAGCCCCACCTCCCCTGGATACATCTCCTCCTACCCACTCCTCTGCCTCCCTGATCAAGGCCATCAGGGAAGAGCTGTTGCGTCTCTCCCAGAAACAGGTGGCTGTGCCCAGCTACCACAGCTGAAGCCCCGCCCTCCAGTCTGTAGCTCTAACCAGTCATGCCACTGACCCTGCCTGCCTGCTTTGCCTAATCTGACAATACTTCCCATGGAAGTCCCCGAGGGTGTACAGCAGAGAGATAGTCCTGCTAAACTGAAGTGAAGAGGTGGTTAATAGAGATTTCTACCCAAGGAGGCTGCTGAATGACAGGACGGTTGATTCAGCTCCTAGACTATTCAGAGTAAAGAATATGATCAACAGCAGTATGTCAAATCAGAACAGTGAAATGAAATGAAGAGCAATATGAACAGTATATGCTGGGCCTTTTAAAATGAGATGACAGGTCTGGACTGCCCATGTGTCTGTCCTGCACTTCACTGTGGATCAGGGAAGGATCATGCCAAGTCCCACCCACTGTGGATCCACATTCGGGACTTATTTGAGATTTTGCTGAATTTCTTCGGACTCAGTATTCTGGGTCATGGTTTCATTCTCATGCTGCCTTCACTAAACAGAAATACCCCCTAAGACATGTCATTTTAAGAAATTTCTAAACTACCGTATAGGCGATTGTTGTTTTCCCCATGCAGGTCCTTAACCTCTTTACCACCATCAGGTGCTACTCCATGTTTTCTGCCATGATGAGCCATGCTATGCCTTGACACTGTGATGTAGTTCACCCGACCCAATCTACTGTACGAGCCTACAGTAAGGTCATAGTTCACAGCCAGCGAGCCAGTTCAGACAGTAGGCACAAAGGGGCATCCGTAGTAACTAAAAACACTCATTAAAACAACCTATTCTTTCCTTACTTACAGCTAGTAGCAGAGTTAGTCTGAGTTGATATCTTTTGACCTCTTGACTTACAGTATATACTTGTTTTTTGTGGACAAGTTGCATTCGTGCCCTGTGTTTATATTTATGTTTAGTAGCTAACAGACGGCTAGACAAACATGAAAAAACAGCCTTGAAATCACATAAATCTTCAAACCTGACTTTAGAGGCAGGTGTTAGAGATACAGGCACAAATGTGTGACAAATAATAAATGAAGAACTTCCGTATGTACTTGACAATTAGGGTGTATCGTATGTACTCAGTATTTGGTTATAATTTGATGCACTGTATGCAGACTACTTGGTACAGCTCAGGTCATTCAGAAAGAGATTCCTTGCGGACAAATCAGTGTTAAGACAGTTGAATAGGTCACATGGAAGAACTGTTAACAAGGGAAGAAGAAGTCATAGAGGCCAGTAATCTGTTTTATCATTAACCTGTATTGACAATGTACTCAACCACCATCTGTGTTTCATGCAGTATTCAAAGTTTGCTTTGCCTCCTTGTTAGCACAGGAAGGAAAAACGTGTACTGTATTCCTTTGGATTTACCTTGCTTCACTTTAAATGTCTGTTAGTAATTGTACTGGTTGGAAATCATTCTAGGTTACCTTTTTTAACCCTTACCCTGACATGATGTTTTGGGACCTGAAGTAATATTTTTATTTAAATAAAATAAAAGAGGAAATTATGGATTTTAAAAGCAGGGCTTGAAAACATGTTTTGGAGAGTGTACCAGTATTGTGGTGGAACTCTTCCCTACACAAGCACCAATGTTTGGAAGTGAGTTGAAACATGCTTCAAATGTTACCAGAGCGTACTTTTCCATCTTTTTTTTGGTTTGCAACGAGCCAAAATTAAATTTCATCCAGCTATTGTGTGGAGTTTCCTTTGCAATGCAGGGAGACGGATTAGGTTCTGGTTTTCCATTCAACCTCTTATGTTCTTGTTTTGTGTCACACAATCTCACACTGTATGCCTCCATCTGCTGGTTCTGTACTGTAACAACAACCCATCCACCTGTCATCCTCAGCTCCTTTTTTTTATTGTTGTTTTTGGTGTTGTTGATTTGTTCATCTATTTGTGAATATTATCTGTTGGCTGGCCCAACTTAATGTTTGAGTTTATGTTGCATGTTTATTGAATTTCTTCTTTTTGTTTTTACGCATGCTGTTCCAAAATTCTTGAAATACAAAAAAGAAACTGTCACTACATAGCCATAAGTCTGGGTCCAATTTGATGTGTTGACTCTGTCTGTGAATCTTGGTTTTAATTGTGTGTTGAACGTTAACACATTATCACCATTACATTATTTGACCCGGCAGTGGCAACAGTATATTTTAATTAAAACTCCATTACAAAGGGGAACAGTTTTTTTTGTTTTTTTTTACTTCATATGTTTCCTTTAGAGATGAATACCTAAACACATCATCATATCATATGTTTTTCATTCAGTAGTAAAAGCATCCTTGCAGGTGTTGTACTTACCATGAACAACCAGAGGGTGCCAGTACACTGCAAGAAAACCATATCTGCACAACAAAGACAGCTCCCTCAGCTGCGGATGATGTAATCCGTTCCCAAGGATGTTTCTAGGAGCCTCTGAAAAGAGGCTGTTTTATTTGTTCACTATTTATTGAGGATTTGCGAACAGATCACAAAATAATGAAGGGGAATGTGTATGACTATATAAGGCCAATCACTATGGAAGTATGGTTCGTGGAGAATGAGGGGGTATGAGAATAAGAAGCCGGAAAATAGAATGACTTGGTAGACAATGACATACAACATAAACTGAAAACAGCATGTGAACAGTAGTAAAACTAATGAATTGGATCAACTGAAGCTCACTTTGGTGTCAATCAATGTGACTAGATACAGGTACTTTTGTGGGTTTTTGCTTCCCCTTGTGGTAAAAAAAAGTACTTCCTGCTCATATATTGAGTTCTATCTCATCCTATCAGACACTTCTCCCCTCTAATCCTATCACGGGATCTAAAGCCACTGAGTGAAGAAGTTAAACAGTCCACAAATCTCCTGAACTCACACTACAGGGGGGTGCACTGTGCACAACTCAGCAAGTATACAGCCACTGCATTGATCTGTTTGATCTGATTGTGTTTATACAGCACTTGCGTCAGGAGAAAATAATCTGGTGTCTGTTTTAAACAGTGCAAATTGTTCTGTGAGTGGGTGAATAATTCTTGCTGCAGCTCTGTCTCCTTGGGTCTGATCTCCTGCCAGTCCTAAGCTGTTTAACTCTGGTCTCTTCCATCACTGAGTGAGACTCCAGAGAGTGTGTCCATGCACAGAAGACAGCTGCTAGAGATGAAATTCAGCATAGTTTTCATGTTATAGTCTGTGGCAGTCACCGTAAATATCAGCTGGTCAGTGTAAATTCTCAGTCATCATCTTTAATCAGGTTTTATTTCCCCTTCATGGACTTTCTACTACTTTAGTCTTTGTGTCGTTGATTTATCAGGCTCTGCATTCTTGAGATTTTTCTCAGATGTAACATCTACATTTCTGTCCTTGTATATGCATTTTTGTTGTTATAGTCATGCTGTTAGCTTGGTGTCTTTTTCTCACTCTGTGTCTCTGTTGTCCCCTGCAGGGCTTAAGACTGTCCCATCCTGTCCCATCTGGCTGCCCCTGGCCCTCCTTGTGGGATCTAAATACCCCTCCCCACAAACACACACACACACATACACAGTAATCCCGTCTGTGTTTTGTCCCGTCCTGGTTGAGTCCAGCCCGGCCCAGCACACACCCAGGAGTTAATCTGGATCATGACGGTAATTACCGCCTGGGTATCCAGCCTGTAGGAGGGTATGGGAGGGTGTGTGAGGAGGGAAGACATTGTCCATGAAGGGAGGAGTCAAATAGGCAGTTCTACCCACTGACCTTGGAGAAAACTATGAGGGAGGGAGGGGAGCAGATCTGTTCCAGCACTGCAGATCTGTCTGTCTTCAGGCACTCTCGCTTTTTAGTCTGCCTCTGAAAGACTGAAAGACAAGCAGAGCAGGGAGGACGACAAGTGTGAAACAAATCCTCACAGCTGATGCGAAAAGAGGATATCTGCCTTTTCACTGATACCAGCACAGAATTGAGTGAGTAGACTGCTATCAGCTTGCCATTCACTGGGAGTGTGTGTATGTGTGTGCGTGCGCTCTGTTCGGCAGTGGCTGTAATGACACATCTCAGGAATTTATGGACGCAATAGGAAGAGTTTCACAACCGCAGCAGACAGGATGTCTTTCCAAACTGTTTGTTTTTGTAACCAAGGTGTGTGTCTGTTTTCTCCTGCACTGAATGCAGACTGATGTGTGTGTGTGTGTATGTGTGTGCTGTCTTTACAGTATCTGTGAATGCGTGTGTGCACTTGGTCACCAGTAGCACATGTTTTCCTCCAGCTGTCTGTCAGAAACAGACATTCCTGTGGTTTGATGACGATGAATGAGCAAGTATTTCTGTGACATCCTACGATGGCGTCCCCTACAGCTGGAAACCTTGTTGCCGTGGGGAGGATGTAGTCCTCGCCCCCCTCCTTGCTTACCAGCGTGGCTTTTTTTGTTGTTGTTGTTGTTGTTTATCATACAACGCTCTGCATTTTGTAACATGCAGTAGCATCAGAGCTGCTGCTTATGAATCAATCGATGGCAGCATGATTGGTTGGCTAACAGAGACACTGCAGCAGCCAGGCATCTTCTGCAGCATCCAGCTATGTGCCAACTCTGGCGCTGCTGCCACCGAGGGATGTCACTGTTTTTACTTTCAGAGTCTCACTTGTGTGTATGGATTTTGAAAGGGAAATGGAGCGGTTGCAGTTTACCCAAACACAACACCTTTCTCAAGCAATTTCTGCTGTTTCCAACATCTTTTTCTTTTGTAATGACTACCAAGTCACTGCAGCCCCTTTTACTGTCTAAATGCTTAGCACACACACACACACACACACATACATCTTCTCTTTCCCATCGTCATCTCCTCTGCTCCCACTCCACCGGCCCTCCCAGCGCAGGTTATCTTTGCTCTATAATTGGGTCATTTTCTCATTTCTCTGTCTGACGTTGGCATCAGGAAAAAACACATCGAGAGGGTGGAGGCAGGGTTGTGAGAGGCTGATTCCCGAGCTAGAGGTGCGGAAACAAAAGGTTGTAAGGAAAAAGTTACAATTTGCGCACATGTGTATGCCGTGAGCAGCCAGGTGTGATGTAACGGAGAGGGGGCATGGAACCCCTGCATCGTCTGTTATCATAACAGATGAACAAGTGGGAGAGAAGAGTGAAGGTTAAAGAACGGTTAAAAAGGAATACAGTGGGGGTGGGTTTTTTTGCCAGTGGCTGGTGCTGTCCTACTTGCTGCTGCCTGACACAGAGCTATATTTTCTCTGAGGTTGGAACCAAAAATAGCTGCTTTCACTGCACCATTTCACTGTGGTGTTTCAGGTCTGGGAAATCTTGCTCACGCAAACCTTACACTTTGTCCTCAAGGTCACAGTGCAAGTTATCTCTGGTCTCCTTCCCCACCAGGCTCTACTGTATCAGGAGACACAGTGTGATATTGTGCTGCACTGTGCTGAGTAGGAGGCAGTGCTCATGTGATGCTCAAGGGGGAGGTGAATAGCTGTCATTCATAAGAGAGCACCAGTTTGCACGGCAGCTGCCCTCTGGTCTGGCTTCAGACACCAATCCTGCCTGTCAGCTGCTGCCGGACTTCTTCCTGAGCTGAACTGTTGTCCCCCTCAGTCAGAGGGTTTGACACATGTTTTAATGACAAAGAGGTGTGGCAGATTAACAAATGGGATTAAATCCATTTGATATAGGAAGCCTTGGTATAGGATATACCTGATATAGGATTTCCCCAGCAAACATGTAAAGAAATGTTTTTGGTATTTGATAAGGACCTATCTGTGAGTTATATGGGGAAAGTTAATCACTAGTCATTCGACATTTTCCATGTAGTAAAACGTTAAATATAAATACAGCAATGAGGCGTACACTTTTATGCATAAGTGGGGCACTTTATGTAGTTCAGTGGACAGAGGTATTTCTTTAACTACCCAGTGTGCCATAGCTGATCATTTGACAGCGTTAATCCCTGTTGGCGGACACTGGATCTCTCTGCACTGCTGTCCTGCAGACCGCAGCCTCTGGATGTTTTTCAGAGCAGTCAGCAGCAGAAGAATGCAGCTCTGGCGCTACCAGCCGGGCGACTGCTGGTGCGAGTGTGTACATGGGAGAGGAGACGTCTGCAGGATGTACAGTGAAACCATTTCACCAAGTGCATTTTACCAGCTTCCTGCACCTGAACTCCACATTTTTAAACAAGTGCTCTTGGAAGTGTGCAGCGGTGCAGATAGCGAGGCAGTTAGAGGAGGTAGTAAGTGTGTTTCGTCAAAACAATAACATGGAGTGAATGAGACTGAAATGGGGCAACAAAAAAAAAGATAGAGGAAGGGAGGGTGTGTGTGTGTGCTTTTCTTAGCTTTTATGAAAGTGCATGAAGGTATCACTTGCATACATTATGTTTTTCTATGCACTTACAACACATGCAGTCCTTGTACCTCTGACATTTCAAAGAGCTTCAGAATTGGTGTTTTGTTTGTGAACTGTCTGGACGATAATCAGCAGGTAATCCTGTTAAGCTATTATTTCTCTAAAAGCTTTGTTTTGGTCAGCAGATGGACACTGCAGGGGTATATTTTTTCTGGTCTGACTGTTCTTCTGTAGATCAGTGTAGACTACACAACTGACCTGCACAGTACATTTATCACATGTAATTTGTTTTTTAGTCCATGCTCTAAACATTTAGCTTTAATTGAACATTCCTTTAATTTGGTGACTTGCGGAAGGAGATTGAAGGGATATGACTGATGGAGCACAAAGCGGACAGACTGTGACTAAACACTGCTTTATAAATAATCTCAGAATGTGTGTCTGTATCTGATGGCATCTATGGAACGACCACAGGATCCAAAACATTTTGGCCACCATTGCTCTGCACACCACTTGGAGTCCTCATCTTGCTATGAAACAGTTATAAACAGTCTCTGCATCTCCATCTCCATCTTTTCCATTTCATCAAACAACTTGATACCCATCATGAACAACTGCACCAGCCACAACTGGAATATAAAATTGAGCATTTTATTCTCATCTGAAGTACATTATCTTGGGTCTGTGCATTGTTTATAAAAACATCCATTTTAATGGCACGTTTTGGCGCTGTGCCAGAGCTGGAGAGATGTCTGGCTGAACTAATGATCATTCTGGTGTAGGGGTGAAAAAACTCTAGCTTGTTTGTATTTCTTTAAACCAATCACAATCGTCTAGCACAAGAGGAGGAGAATTTTTACGAAGAGTCGGCCAGTGGCAGTCTTATTCCCACAGCGTACAACAAAGGACCACTGGGTTACAAAAAAGAAATGAAAGGAAAACTGAAAAGGTTGAAATCTTTGGACTGACCTCTGTTTTGTGTGCATATAATGTCTGACTGCAGCCCAGATTCAACACTTTTGTCAACATTTGTTAGTTTTTTTTGTCTTGCTGATAGAGGCAACCCCCCAACAGGTCTTGTTTCATCATTTTCTCCTGCTTTTTTTGTGTGACAACATGACGATGTGGGTATCATTTTGAATATGAGCCCATTTTGGGAAAACCAAATCAAAGTTAAAAAAAAAACTGGTCTTTTGTCCCAGATGTCAGAAAGAAACCCCTTTCTGACATCTGGGACAACAAACTTTTTTTGAGCTCTCAGCAGCCAGAGTTGTGGTCAAGACCACCTCAGTCAAGTTAATGAATTTAGCACCCACCAAATGGTACACAGAGCTCTACTCAGTCTTTGTATATATTTACATAAATAAATATGAAATGATAAATAAGTATAAAATGAAGATTGCTAACAAACGGTGAAAAAGACACATTAGCTCAATTTACACACAATTACAGTTTACAATTTACAGTTAACAACTGAAATGTCCATGAGCTCATCTCTACAGGGACAGTCAGTCATTGTGGTTTTCATACCCTCCCCCACTAAGTCAGCCATGAGTCTTATTGGATGTTTATTTGACTCTACAGGACTTGAGGTAGGTGCTCCACTGTCACCCTTAAGCATGGTTGAATGTTGTTAGTCTTTGGGTGAACTGACACTTGTTAAGTATGCGCTGAAAGAGAACAAGACCTTTATACAACTGACATACATATTCTACAATGGAGGGCAAAACAGAAGAGCCATAACTACTAAAGACAGTTGGAGAACAAGTTTTTAATTTTAGGAAACTGCCAAATTCCACAGTCTCAAAAATATCAATTACCATCAAAATCAAATTTGTGGCCTAATGTTGAATAATGAGCTGTGTGCTCCCTGGACTGCACAGGGATCATATGGGCACCATATGATCATGTGATTACACTCCTGGCTTCTGTATCAGATTTCTGTTTAAATATACATGCAACATCCACAGAAACATTTTTGATATTATCAAATACGGCGAAACATCTCCTCACTGCCCGTAATGTTAAATAATGTTAAATGACCTGCCCACAGCTTAATTTCTAGTGGCCAAAAAATACTGCTGTTGTGATGTTTGCTATGGTAGCAGGGAAGAGGCCAGAGGGCTTTGTGGCTTGACGAGTGTGGCTGATTCGGGCATATTTGTCTGCACACGTATTAAGAAATGAAAGAATAGTAATCTCAGTCCCTAGGAGATCATTTCATCTGACCTCCATGCTAAATCTATTACATACACGATGTTATGCAGTGTAGCTCACACTGGTCCTTACATAGTTTGCCCAGATCTGACAAGTGATTTGTAACATTTCCCTGGTATCCAGAACAGCTAAATAATCCACACCTCACACTTGGGCAAAACTCTTGATGAGTGACAAGTCAAGGGCCACTTCTTAGTCCAAAACTAGCGCATGTGCTGTTTCTGTAACTGTTGATTCTCTGCCAAAATCAGCTACGTCCCCAGATTTGGTAGCTATGGGAACAGAGCTAAAATTGATAAAAAGTCTGTATCACCATTGATTTTTCTCTTCTTTCTGGTTAGCAATGATGGGTCTTGGATGCATGGATTTAAATCATTGTCAGTTGAATATATGGT